CGCAGCAAAAAAATACCCCTAAAACCCTTTACCCTCGCCAGTTGAACTATTATCACCTTATGAGGAGTGTCGCTGTTTGCCAAAAAAAATTGTACCTCATCTATATAATGCTTCCACAAAGTGCACTCCAGCTTGTGTCCCCTATATATTGGTAGTAGCAAGAAGAACGTTACCCATGAAATATATTAGTTAACAGAGTTTCAACAACGTTAACATTTTAAATACCTGAGATTGTCAAGTTCCAATACAATCATCTTTGTTTTCCTACCGGAAAATATATGCTCACAAACTTCCCCAATTCCTGATAGTAAACCAATGACGTCTACAGAGCAAAGAAGGCTGCATTGATTTCATTATCAAAATCACAATAATTCAATCATGAACCGCAGCGAGGAAAAATATGTTACCTACTAAATAAGGAGAGTCAGATGATTCTTTCTCAGTGATGTCAGAATCAACAAAATCAAATACATGCCAGAAAAATTAGAATCAACAATCGATCTAACATCAGTCCTCAAGTTGAAATACAGACGATAATCATGTCTGGTTGGCCTGAAATTATCACTATTGGATCCAACTCCAATTTTTTTTATAAAATACACCTCTCCTTTAACAGTAGCATGGATCCTTCCACCCTACAAAAAAAGTGAAAGTAAATATATCAACAACGAAAACAAAAATCATCACAACAGACATGAAAATTTAAAATCACAACAGAGATGGAAAAGTTTAAAATATTAAAAAAACGATCAACACTACCTATTCATCCAACAGAACCATCTCAACATTGTCGTCAAAATCTTTACGATGAAAATTAGGAACCTTCCAAGCTCGAACCACCTTAACTTTAATCCTTCAGTCCTCCTTTGTAGGATTAAGATCCTTTATAAAATCATTTTTGAAAACATACCATTTGGGAAGAAGAAAAAAAGAAAAGAAAGAAACGATTTTTCTCAAAGAAGCAATTCGCAAAAAGTTGTATATTGGACACAAGCAAAAAAATAAAATTGTCCAATGTTCCTATTTATAGACGCAAGCAGAGGTCTTTTTTACTCATAATATACAACAAAAGAAAAGTAGTGAGATATTAAATGAGCTGTCTGCCACCAAATTTTTTCCAAATGTTTTCCCACAAAGTTAAAATTTCAAAATTGAAATTTAAACATAAATTCAAAATTGAAAAGAGTTGAGTTATTATTAATTTAGAAATTCCAATGTAGAAAGCAGTGAGATATTAAATGAGTTGTCTGCAACAGAAAATTGTTCATATAATTTTCCATTTTATTTATTTCCAAATTTCGATTTTATTTTATATTTTTTATTTCTAACTTTTTACTAAAGAATGAAATTTCTTAAATGTTTTGTAGTGTGAACACAAATGTGAGATTGAAGGAGAGAGTGACACATCATCAAAGTTTCCAAATAATGGGTTAACTTTATATATATATATATATATATATATATATATATATATATATATATATATATATATATATATATAGGGTTTTATAAGAGTTATATGTATATAGTTAGATAGATAGATAGATGTTTCACAAAATTCAAAAGGTGAATCAAAAGGGAACAGATCCACTTACCATAAAAAAAAGTTTACCACTCTTACAACCAATCTAATCACCGTTGATTTTCGTCAATCTAACGGTTATAATCTATTGGAAATTAATAATATTTATTGTGACACATTTATTAATTAATTAATAATTTTTAATAAATTCTAACCGTTAGATTGACGGAAATCAACGGTGATTAAATTAGTTGTAAGAGTGGTAAACTTTTTGGTGATAAGTATATCCTGCCCCGAACCAAAGGGAACAGATCCACTTACCACCAAAAAAGTTTACCACTCTTACAATCAATTTAATCACCGTTGATTTTCGTCAATCAAACAGTAACGTGAAACTAGTGTCATAGGGTAACTATGTACAACTTAAAAAGACTATGTGCAAAGTGAAAACTATTACAGCTTTCACGAAAATCAAAACAAAATATTTCATCTTCTTCAACCTCCAGACGGGTCAACCCGTTCCAATTTCAACCCGTATGAAGACCAAATGGTTTTCTCCATTTTTGCACCATATAACCGAAAGTCAAAACAATAAAGGCAAGATAGAGGCATAAAAGGGCTCTGATACCAAATGTAAATTCTAAAATATCTTGATGATCTAATCATGCTCGTATACAATCAGAAGTAATTAGATGTAATGTGAAAAAATTAATTATTATAAATATCTTTTGCCATTGCTTTCCCTTTTGTTCTCATAATGGGTTGAAGTTGTCCATGAGTCAAGTAGTACGTGAGTCTCTGTGAGCACTTTGTGAGTTTTCCAAGCCTCTGAGACATATATGATGTACAACATAAATCCAAGAGTGAGCTTAGGGACCCAATAGTATGAAGTTACATCATATATAGACCCTAACCAACAAGGTGTCTATTATTAGTGATGTGCATAAAATATGGTTGTTGGTTTTTTTTTTTGGACTGTTATGAAAGATTGTTGCTGAAACAATGTGTACCATATTTTTCACTTTATTATCCTCAAATTGTTACGAAAGATAAGACTAACAGACTCACCCGTTTATATCACCAAGTCCATTTGTGGACGAAATTCAACTTGGGAATCTATTTATTTTTATGTTTGAAAAATTTTAAGAAGATAAAAGGTTGTGCTATTTCTATTTACAAATAATTTATGAATAAAAATCTATTGGTAATAAACAAACCTATATAATTTTTTATAAGTGTAGTTTATTATTATACTTTTTAATCAAAATAATAACTAATATTTGCAAATGCATTTTTAAATATGTGTATCGTATCCTAATCTATATGTTCTTACACACGTTAAGTATTTGATTTAAACATGTCTATTAAATTTGTTCACTTACCAAATTTTTATCAAACCCAAAATCTTTTTGTGAAAGTTTTTATGTGTCCTTAACCGGCGAAACTTATTAAACTCATTGAAAAATTAATCTATAAAACACAACAAAAATAGAAAAAATGCACTTTTCGATATTTCAGTTTTTTCAAAATAAAATAAAAGTATGTTTTATATAGCATTAAGAATGTTTTGTTACCAAATAAGATAAAATTAATTATTTAAAAATATTAAAAGAAATATATTTCTTCAAAGTTTGTTAATTAATTACTTAGAACATTAACTTAAGTTAAAGAATGTTAAAGAATGAATTTAAAAATAAAAAATGCAAGTATGATATTTACTTAATCGCATTGTCATAAGTGTGAATTATATATTTCTCACTTAGTTGAAGTTAATCTCAGCAAGAATCTAATTAAATCTCTTACTTTTAATAAGGAGATCTATGGAAGAAGAAAAGTAATTAAAGTAGACAACAAAGGTCGATACAATTAGTTAAGAGTTTGGTTCATATCCTATAAAGATGTGGATTCAAATTTCGTCAAAAATTTTGATTGTGGATGATAGTGGATGATATGATGTGATACCAGTATTTAATCTAATTTTATTATTAATTTTTTATTAAAAAAAAAGCAATTAAAGTACTGACATGTCTGCATTATTTTAGTACAGTGATAAATATAGCAAAGTATATCCTATGGATTCTTTTCATTTCAAAAATTTCCCCATAATGTCAAAAGATTAGATTTTACTGAAAAGGAAACAAAATGTTTCTCAAAGATATATGATCATAAGGCCCTCTTTGGTTCACGAGATCCCCTACAATTTAGCTAGGCAAATGAATTTGGCGGTCCTCAAAGACTTCGTTTGGTAGACAGATTTCGCAAGGATGCCCATCTATCCCATTTGCATGGAATTTCTCCATTTGGTCCAGAAAGCAGGGCATTGGCACTGTTGAGAAAGCGATCTTGGATGTGGGTTTTGGTCAATAGCCATCTAAATTGGAAAGTGAAAAATTCAAGCTACCGAAATTACCCTCGTGCTATCCTCTTCTATTCTTTTTGCTGCAACTGCATCTTAATTTGCTCGCTCTCATAAAAATGTAACTAGCACAACCATTTCATTGCATCTTAATTTGCTCGCTCTCATAAACTCAAGAGGGAGAACAATCAAGAAAAAAAGAAAAGAAAAAAAGAACTTCATCGTACCCTCACTGCTACCATTATGTTTCACGAACAAGAGAGCAACTTCTTCCAAAACGACACGACCGAGAAGGAGATTGTGTCGTTGGTGCGCGCTGCCAAGGCAAAGAAGGAATCCAGAGCCACCGAGGAGAGGGCGACCGCCGATAAAAAGTTGAAGGAAGCGGAGATGGCAGCAACTGCGGCGAAGAAAGAGAAAGAATTGGAAGCAAAGGAGAAGAAGGACGGGGAGTTTGGTTCAAGTGGCTCAATAGCCAAGAGAATTAAAAAAAAAAAACAATTTTTACTTCAATTTTGGATTGATACTGTGATTGATACTATAAGAATAATTAATTACCATTCTGTTTCACGGGTTTTAGCTTTTTTATACGTGTCCGCATTATAATTTACAATTAGTTACATTGGAGATAGGATCGAAGCTGAGAGAAGGCAAACGCTTGAAAATGTTATGAAGATTGATGCATAGGGCAAGGACAGGGTGAGAAGGAGGGAATAAAAGTGAGAAGTGAAGTGAAGGTGTTTGAGAATGAGAGAGAAGTAGAGGTTATTTTTGTAATTGTCACTTATTTTCCCATCTATATTTTACCTCAAACCAAACATAGACTTTATAAATCTTACCTAATTTACCCGGTAAAATTTTTTCCAACTAAATAACTTTTTTTACACTTTTCTACCAAACTCATTTTCCCACCATTTCCTTATCAATTACATTTTTCCACCATTTTCTTATCAATTACATATTTTCCTAGTATTCCAAAAAAAATTTCTCAAGCATAAACGCCCTCAAGGATAGACAGTGTGAAAACAGGAAACTTCATTATAATCAATAGGTGGAAAACGGCAATTTCAATCCATAAAATAATTGTGCAAAGTAGCACTTTTTTAATAGTAGTTTTCTTCGTTGTTTCTTAATCCCTAAATCCTTATAAAAGGATCTTAATTTCTTTATAGAAGACTTGTGAAAGTCAGTCATCGAGTCCCTTCGCTTCTCTTCTTTCTACTGTTTTCATCCGTTATTCTTCCATGGCTTCCGATCTCGAAGCTAAAGCCAAAGAGGCTTTCGTCGATGAACACTACGAGCTTGCCTTTGACCTTCTCACTCAGGCTATTGCCCTCAGCCCTAACAACGCCGACCTCTATGCCGACCGTGCTCAGGCCAACATAAAACTCAATAATTTCACTGGTATGCAACTTTTCTTTCAAAGAAAGATTGTGTCTTTCTTATACCCTTTTGCTGGTTTTGTTATAAATCATCGACTTTCAGTTAGAAACTGAAACCATGTTCAATTGGGTCATGTCTTCTGGGTATAGAGTTTGGTAGGGTTAAGAAGTTTTAACCAAGATGGGGTTTTTGTTGTTTGGGTGTTTGTGTGTTTTCATGGTTTGGCGACTAATTTTTCTTTCCTTTTGTCCAGAGGCTGTTGCTGATGCAAAGAAGGCAATTGAGTTGAATCCTTCTCATTCAAAAGCATATTTGCGCAAAGGGTGATTATAATGCCATTTTTTTTCTTTAACCTTTGTTGATCTCGTCACTACAGATTTTGATTGTTTTCAATGTATGATCTCCTTCAATCACAAAGTTAGATCTTGTACTTCCTAATAGTTGCTGAGGTGGTATATATCTTTTACTCATAGCAAACTGATTAAATTAATATTGAGATATTATTATTTTCCGTGAAGGTTGAATCTAAAAGGATGCTGGTATCTAGATGCATTTGATTACATCGTATATCATAAGATTTGGCGTTCTATTTTACATTCTTTATGTCCTTGGTCAATTGTGCTGTGGTTACTAAGCTTCATGATGTAATTTTTATGTAATTTTTATTTTGGTATTTGGTTGTAGTACTGCATGCATCGAGCTTGAGGAATATGAGACTGCTAAGGCAGCTCTAGAGATGGGTGCTTCATTGGCTCCTGGAGACTCAAAATTCTCTGATTTGATCAAAAAATGTGATAAGCTCATTGCGGGTAAACATTTATTTTACATGTGGCGAATTTTTTTGGTTTACTTTTTTGGTGGTAGCCGCCCACACTCAGTGGGGAAACACTTTGTTGTTGTTGTTATTGTTATTTACTTCTTCTTTTTTAGTGTTTTAGATTGTGAGCTAACAAGAGGGCGGGCCAGGAGTAGGGGTAAAATTGTTCCTTTGTGACTGAAAGGTCAAGGGTTTGAATCCGGAAAACAGCCCCCTTGCAATTATGCAATGGTAAGGCTGCGTACAAGGATTGCCCTCACCCCATCCTCGCTAGTTGGGGTTCAATAGGGAGTGGTGGTTTTAGATTCTGAGTTATATGAGACCTCATGATCGTGACTTGACTATTCAGAGGGAAATATGTTATATTTGGCTACAAACTGACGTGTTTGATGGAAATATTATGTTGAACAGAAGAATCTGGTGTCATATCCAGACAAGAAAAAACTGTGACACAGGGTGTTTCTACAAAGGGTGTTCAGTCACAAAATGATCTTCAAGAACCACAGACAGTAACAGCGCCTAAACCTAAATACAGGTTGGTTCAGCTTTCTGCTTTTTTGCACCATTTGCAAGGGTTATTGTTTTGTAAGTTGAAAGTGCTTGCATGATTTATGTTGCATGTATCTTTATAATATTTCTTCTATAATTGGTTAGCCCTTTCTTATGATGGTTTTGATACACAACATGTGCATTTGGCAAATTCCAATTGAAGGAAATACTAATCACTCATAGGTGGTTAATTTTAAAAAAAACATCTGTGCAGGCATGAATTCTACCAGAAATCTAATGAGGTGGTTGTTACCATATTTGCAAAGGGCATTCCGCAGCACAGTATTGATGTTGACTTTGGTGAACAAATCGTATGGTTCACACTAATTATCATACTATTTATTCAATGCATCTTATGTGCCCCCTAATTACAATTGATTACATCTTGATGGATCATATTCTAAGATTATTATTATTTTTATTTTTTTTGGTTGTAGCTAAGTGTTAGCATTAATGTCCCTGGCGAAGATGCATATGTCTTTCAACCTCGCTTATTTGGAAAGGTATGAATGAAAGTTCCATTGTTTATATTATGTTTTTATTCTGGTTATAATGTGGAAACTTAAGATAATGTTCAGGGCCTAATTCTAAATTATGCCATCTATCCTTTGTTTTTTTAAAAAATTTATTTGGTTGTTTCTAGCCCATGTAGTTGACAAATTTGCATTGAACCTCATGTATATTATTTATCTAAGCTACATTATGTTGTTTTGTTAATCTTTGGTTTTCCTCTAACAGATCATACCCACAAGTTGCCGGTATGAAGTTTTGTCCACCAAAATTGAAATTCGCCTTGCAAAAGCAGAACCTATCCATTGGTCATCTCTAGAATTCAGCAGTAGTATTGGAGCTCCACAGAGGGTTAATGTTTCCTCAGGTAACTTAAAGATTTAGGCCCCCTCCTCCTTGCGGTTGGGTGTCTTCCGAAAAATCGATGTGTTTTTTTTAATGTGGTGTGAAAGACTTTGTATGGTAAACTTTTCTAACATTGGTTAGTATTAATTCTATGTTGTTGTTGCATGCCTTTCCCACTCTTCTCTGGCCATCTGATTTCTTTTTTTTTTCTTTTTCTTGAATTCTTGAATTGAATGCTATGATAACTCTAGTTAATTTGTGAATATAGAGTATAAACAACTTTACAACAGGGTGGATGCTCAAGATGTTTCAACTCTGTTTATGTTCAGTGATGCCCTAGCTATAAAACTGTTATAGCTTTGATATGGCAAGGAGTGGCGAAAACATTTAATAGACATCTGAGGTTACTTGAGTTGGCAGTGTTTTGTATGCTGATGTGACTCTCCTGGTTTTTGGGTGGTTAATTTGAAATGAGTTGTGCTTTCTGATGGGCTTGATTGTAGGCATATAGATCAAAATTATGGTCCTTCGATACTTTTTATCATGTTTTGCTTGTGCATATGTTGTAGCACGGTTTACATTTAATATGCAATTTTTCATCCCACAAATATGGCAGTTGCTGGAGGTGAAAGACCTAATTACCCATCCTCAAAACAAACAAGAGATTGGGACAAGCTGGAAGCTCAAGTTAAGAAAGAGGTTTGTTTGCCGCCTATGTAAAATGTTTTAATAGTCTGTATGTTAAATGATCTTCTGTCTCAATACACTGGATTTCAGGAAAAAGAAGAAAAGCTTGATGGTGATGCAGCGTTGAACAAATTTTTCCGTGAGATATATCAGGATGCAGATGAAGACACAAGAAGAGCAATGAGTAAATCATTTGTAAGTTATTATATTTTCTATCTTCAATCCCAGTTAATGTACAATGCCAATTTTTGGTTCATCCTTATTGGGCAAGCTGCCTTACTTGAAAATCACTACTGATATTTTGAGACTGCTTGCAAATTTTGCTAACCCTGCATACTGCTGTATATAATGCATTTGACTTGTGTTCAAATTCTTGCAGGTGGAGTCTAATGGAACTGTACTCTCTACAAACTGGAAAGAAGTGGGATCAAAGAAGGTAGAGGGAAGTCCTCCAGATGGCATGGAGTTGAGGAGATGGGAATATTAATCTCTTTTTTGTGATGTGGGATTTTACTCTGCATGTGCTTAGATAACTACTGAACATAAGGATATTGAACTGCTTTAATTGTATTGGTTTTCCTGGTGTAAATTTTTTGCTAAGATCTTATAGTTGGTGCAAGAGTTTTGTGTTTTGTGAAATGTAATGTTTATGCAGCTCTAGTTCTTCTATTATATTTTTCTTTTTTCTTTTTGCTACCAACTTTCATCTATTTAAGCTGTAGTTATTCTAAATTATTGAAATAAATTATTTACATAATCTGCGTTATCTTGTTTTTACCATGCAGCAGTTAATGGAATCTCGCTTTATTACTTCGTTTCAATTAAGTTGGTTATGAATGCCCTCAAGTACATGTTATGGTTTAAAATCGTGAGTTGTGGCCTGTGGGTGCGTCTTTTTTTTTTTTAAGGCTGATTTTTATTTGTAACAGTAATATTATATTTTCAAAAAAAATTTAATTACGTTTTATGGTTATTTGTTACTGTGTAAAAGGATGTATAAGATTTGGTAGTATTACCTATCGGCATTACTAGGATTCTTGCTAGTAAGTATTACCTAACAGAGTAAGTAGTGACCTAAGCTGCTACCAGTTCAACAAATATAAATTCATCTGTAACCAATACTAATTCACCACTAATTGCTATATGCATGTAAAGTACGGCTGATGCGTGTGGCAACTGAATGCTAGTAATACATTTAGGTGCAAAATGTTTAGATAGATAATTTATTTTTTAAACAAAATTCTTATTTTTTGAGTAGTTATAAAATTCAAATTAGTTCCTTTTGTGATTAGATTTTTTTTTTTTTTAATTTTACTTATTATTAATTGAAATCTTACCAAAAGCTGTAGTTTGTTGGAGTTGGATAATAATTTGTAATTGCAGGAGTTTGTATTTTGGTTTAATGTTTATCATGTTGTAAGAGATTATTTTATTTCTTATATACACATAAAAATATGTGGGGCCATGTGAGGTCATATGAAGAGAAAAGAGAAAAAAAATGGGTTTCACATATTTTTATGTGTGTGTAGGAGATAAATTTATTTTCTATAATATAAGAAACATTATTCCTTGATAATATATTAAATATGTTTCCTAACTTGTTTAGTGATGATTTGATATTTTTTTTTTTGGTGTGGATGATTTGATATTATATATATTGTTTATCTCCTAATTTTGGTACACAAGACATATCAAATAAATGGGTTAGTGCAGCCTATTTAAATAAATAAAATAGGGATTAATATTTCTTCTGTTATAGGAGATAAAGTTATTTTTTGTAACCCCAAATGGTATCGTTTTGGGGGTTAAAGATTAAAAATAAAAGATGTTTTAATAAAATTCGTAATTTAAAGAGGAATATAAAATTTTCAAAATATCCATTATTTTTAATCCTTAATCTTAAAATGATATTATTTTGAACTATAGAAAATAACTTTATGATTTATGGGTCGATCCTAGCCTACAAAGTCTTGTGGGCTTTTTGGTTTTGTAAACTTTTGCCTTTGTAGGCGTTTTTGTCCTATTGGTATTTTAGTCTTGCGACATGTAAGTTTGGATTGAATGGGATGGGTTAACGCATGTGACTCTATTCATTTTTATCCAAACGTGATTATATGATTTATTATTTTATTTTTTTATGGTTTTAAATTTCTCACTTAAATTTATTGTGCTTAAATAATTTATCTTTTATCCTTCCTGTGTTTCAAAATTTCACTCCTTTATTGTGATTACAAAAATATATCGTTTAGACCCTTATGGTCTTATACTCTTATATATACATAATTTTTTTTATTTTTCTCAACATTTATAATTATTATCATATTATAAATAAAAATTGTATACCGAAAAATATAAATTTTTTTAAAATTAATAATAATATCATTTAGATCCTTATAATTTTATACATATTAAGTTTTTTATTTTCTCTCTTTTATTTTATATCCTCATCTGTTTTCATTTCAAATCAAATAGTGTTTTATTTTATCTATTTTTACCAGGTATTGTTACAAAATTATCTAAAGAACATAAATATCTTATTTTGATAATACCTATTTTAATTCATCAAAATAATATTTTTTTTAATTTTAAATATATTTTTAAAATAAATTAAAAATTATAATATTTATAAATTAATTTCAAAATACATAACTTGAAATAATTTTTAATTTCATATTTTATTATTAATTATATTATAATTTTATTTGATAATATCATAATTATATAAAATAAAATTTAGAAAAGTAAATATTTTTATATTTATAAGACTACAAGGGATCTAAGTGATGTATTTCTGTAATCACAATGAATTATTTCCTACTATTTATATTTATTAATTAATTACAATACATTTCTGCCATTTTAGTTTCACTGTATTATTTAGTTGAGTTAGTGTCCCTTGTGTTACTTATTATATGTTAATGTTAGAAATGCTTACTATCGTTGTTTGAATTTATAATAAATCTTTGATAATCCTATGTCATGAACTGAATTATTAAAAGAGAAATATATTAGTGTACTAAGTAATATCAACGTAATCATGTATTGGGTTATTACTTCTTTAAATTATTGTAAAATAAAAAATTATATTCTAAAAAAATAATATGATTGAGATTTTTATGATTGCTTCCACAGTACGAATGAAATAATTGTGATTTTTATGATTGCTTCCACAGCAAAAACGCTGTTGCATGTACCTTTTTTATAAGGTATTATATGATTTGTAACGTAACATGTGCTCATTGTGCACAAACTTGGTTTGCTCGTGTTGCACATAAAAATACAAAGAGAAAAATATTTATTATTTTAAAGGACATAAAATTATGTCATTTTAAATGATAAAAAGAGATAGATCATGAAAAAAAGAGTGAGAATTTTTTTTTTTAAAAGTGTGAGTCACATCTTTTTATGAGAGTAAAAGAATATAAGGTAACACACATTTTTCCCAAATACAAATTTATGATCGTCTTGGGCCATATCTAAATGATTAAAACAGATTTAAAATTAAATAAATAAAAAATGCACTTTTCAGCCTCGACAATTTCTCGTAATTTCTAACAAATGAATAATGATATTGTACACATTTTATTCTCATAAAGTCATGACAGACGTACAAAGAAGGCGCATTTTTTATTGTATTTTTTATTCACGAGGAAGGACTAGCATCCTTATGCATAAAAAAAAATTGTATAGTGAAACTAAAATGGCAGGAATGTATTGTAATTCATAAATATAAATAGTAGGAAATAAAGAAAAATTGTCTTTAATTGCGTCCCTACAGATGCCCTTAAAATTTTTAGTCAGTCACAAACTTTAGGATGAGGACATGGTGATAACATATATGACGATACATGATCGAGGATCCTCACTCTTCAATGATTATATATCATAATAAAATTATTTTAATGCAATGGGTGAGTTTTTCGTGGAGAATCTAATAAACTAGATCATGACAAAGTTATAAGAGAGAAAAGCAACGTTTGTTTCCTGTGTTCAAGACTTCAAGTTTTGTTTCAATCAAACTTGGAATAGACGAAAAGCATCGCATTATCGATCAAGGTAAGCTTTTTATATTTTAAAGCTTCCATTATGGGTGATATATATGAGGAGGGATATTCTAACTATCAAAATTTTCTACTACCAACTTACTACCTATCTAATCACCATTTGATTAATATTTTCTCTTTCTTCAAAAACTTTCTAACATTTTCTCTCTTTGATTCAATGGTGATATGATGAGTAGTAAGTTAGTAGTGAAAGTTTTTGGTAGTTAGAATATCCTCAGTCGATATATATATATAGCATTATCTCCACGTTGCTCTGATTCAAAAATTTTATTTACTATGATTAATTTTCGTGTACGACAGAATGACATTTCTCAAATTGTGCTTTACATTTCTGCTAAACGAATTTTCCCCTCTCATGCTAGTTGTCTTGGATTAAAGTGTATATCATGAAACTGCCGTACGTTCCTTTGTTCTCTTGAACAAATAAGATGATTTGAGAAAATTATAGACTTAGATGACTGTATTTGGTTTATGCTGCGAGGTTCTTTATGCATGTTACTTTTCTCAACTTCTTTACTCTTGTCAAGCTGTGAATCGCAAATGTTTGGACAAAGTATTAGTACACTTTGAATGGTATATAATAAGGGCTTATATTTTTGGGTTGTGTTTATCTCATTTTACATGAGATAAACATCTCTCCTACACACACAAAAAGGGTTGGGTCCCACCATTTTTTTTTTCTCTCTCCTCTTACATGTGGGTCCCACTTATACTTTTATTTCTACAACATGAGGTAATTCTTTTCCTACAACGTAAAAAAAATATATCCCTGTATTTTTTGTACACTCTGTGCTTATGGTAGTAGAGTAAACAAAATCTTAGGGCATTTCGACCTAAAAAGAAGAAGAAGAAGAAAAATCTTCCTTTGCAGGATGTTTTGTGTTGAAACGTCTATGATGATTGTACTTGTGTGTATGTTTTGTTATAAAAAAATGAAATTAATAAACACTAGCTGCGGAGGAGTAAAACATGGCGAGCGTCTTCAGAGAGAATAATCTGGACCATAGGTGGAGGATTTTCCAATTCACCATCGCCAGGTAAATGAAATAACGCTACATATTTTGTAAACTTTTTTTTTTTTTTTTTTTTTTTTTGTAATACTCATAATAAATTTTCCATTTCATTAAAAAATGGCTTTTAACTTTCTCAAACTTGTATCCAATAATAATAAATTTTACACTTATTCTAGGTTATTAATTCAGTTGTATTCAACGACTCTCATAACTAAAAATTATATTACCAAAACAAAATTTAAAACACCTGAATATAAGTGAGATCAATAATTAAGATTAAAATGAAATTATGGTAACTCAGTTATCGCATGGGAGTTGAGGAAGTAGAGATGAGAGCATGTATTCGATACTTTTCAGTACCATTTTTAAGAAGGATTTACAATCTTAATTCTGAACCAGTCCCGAGCAGCCGTGAAAAATACCTTTGATTTATAAAAAAATAATAATAATTAAGATTGAAAGAATAATTTACAATAATTTGAAATGATTCTCTTTCTTTCTCTTCAATCTCTCTCTCTCTCTCTCTCTCTCTCTATATATATATATATATATATATATATATATATATATATATATACAAATTTTTGTAAATTACATTATGTATTCTGGAAAGTACATAATGTAACCTAGTGTACTTTCGGAAATACTTAAAGTTTACATTAAAAAAAGTTTGTAAATATAACTCTGCCCATATGTATATATATTCAGAATCACGGAGCCAAGACTTTAAGCGAAAGGGAAGAAATTATATATATTTTAAAATTCATAACTAAAATAAAAAATGATATAATAGAATAAAAAACTCACGATATATAAATCAAATTAAATAAATCATAATATAATATAATATATATAAATTAAATAAGAATACTCAAATCAAATAGATTGACAACAAAATAAAATTATTTTTATTTAATATACATTGATATTAATATTTGGGTAGAAATTAAATATATTTGAGATTGATTAAAAAATAAAGTAAATCGAATTATGTTTAAATTTACTTTGTATCTATTTTTTAATTTTTAATTATTTTCTTGCTATCTCATTTATTTATTTATTATATATCGATATTTAGATAGACATCAAATCTATTTGAGATTGACTAAAAAATAAATCACTTTTATTTGGTAGTTTAACTCTTCTATATCTTTTTAACATATTTCATATTTTTATATTTTTTTAATTAACTAAAACAACTTTAACTTTTAACAAAATTAGAGAAAAAATAGCAAATAATTATTGTAATAACATGATGGGTGGTGTCAAGTATAATTATATTGCTCAAATACTATAAGAGCAATAGATCCGAGCAATTGGTTTTGAAAAGTAAAAGGAGCTTGTGGCTCTCCACTGTATAATCATAATTTGGCTTGTATGGATTAATTAACATACAATAATTTCTAATTTATTTATATTAAAACAAATACACCATTCCTTCTTTTTACTTAATTTTTTTATATTTTCATTTTATATAAATGAAAATAAATAAATAAAAGGATAAATTAAGTTTTTTTTTTATAAATAATATGGATTAATGAAAAGCTTTCAAGTGTATTTTTTTTTTGGTATCTAGCTTTCAAGTGTATTAATTAATTAACACATGTAACTAGAGGTGAGAAATTGGGTGGCCCACCCCACCCCGCCATCAACCCGCCAAAAAATGAGCCAGCCCGCCTTGCCCTGCTTTTGAAAGTGGGCTCAAAAACTCAGTCCGCCCCGTCCCGTTTGGCGGGTTGGCCCGCCAGCCAGAGCATATTTTACACTGACTCGCCTATGCCCGCCATCAACCTGCCAAAAATTGAGCCCGCTCCGCCCCGCTTTTGAGATAGGTTGAAAAACTTAGCCCACCCTGTCTCATTTAATGGGTTGGGCGGGTTGGCCCGTCGAGCCGAGCCCGTTTTGCCGGATCTACATGTAAGTCACATAATGATTGATTTTAACTTGGTTAATGAACATAAGAGCCTGGTTGCAAGTTTTAAATTGTTTAAAAAACTTTAACCCGAATTTAAAAATTCAATCCGCTTTATTTAAAATTAGAAATATCTCTTCTGTAATTAGTAGACCCCCGTTTTGTTTCTGTTTCTCCGTGGTTTTAGTTTTCTTGGGCTATTGCCCGTTTTCTACAGAAAAAAAAAATTTATTTTAGATCACCATTTAGATAATAATTATAGAATTTTTAATACCCCGTCCCCTACGATTTTGTCACTGTATTTGGCTGATTTCTCTGTAATTTTCGTAGAGTTCTTCTGAACTAGTTTGTTTCTTCTGGGGTTTTTTTTCCTTCCCATTTACCAAAAAAAAAGAGAGATAAAAATTTACTTTTTATTTAAAAAAATTATATAAAAAATAGAATGAGAAACATATGAATATCATTCATGTGTGAGTAGTCGGTTTTAGCGGCGGATTTGGCTCTTTCCAGATTAGCTCGATCAAAATTATAGATTAAGAACAAGGGGAAAGATATTGTGACAACCAAGTTGTGTTACTACTAAGTGACTACCAATTAATCTCACCGTTAGATCGATTATGTTGATCCAACGGTTATATTTATTTCCATCTTTGTATGGTCATAATTTTCCATATTTAATAATTTATATTTATTTTCACCTTTGTATGATTATGATTTCCCATATTTAATGCTTTCACTTTAAATATGGGGAATCATGACCATACAAAGATGAAAATAAATATAACCGTTGGATCAATATAATCGATCTAACGGTGAGATTGATTGATAGTCACTTGGTAGTAACACAACTTAGTTGTCATAATATCCTTCTCCTAAGAATAATATGAAAAAATCCCACTATTTTTTGCAATAAAAATTTGTTTGACCTTCTCTAATGAGAATAATGACATTCTAAACTACTTTATTTCGTATAAAAGCAAAAATCAATGACAATAACTGCAAAGACGAATTTATAAAATCGTTTATTGTTATTAATATTCTTCACTAAAAAACACTTATATACTGTGTAGATAGACTTCAATTGATCACTGAAACTGGAGTCTAACATGCTGGCGCGCAAGATCAATGAAACCGTAGTCTAACATATGTTTGTTTGGAATTTGTGTGCATTGCAATGGCACACAAGAAAGGATAGATCTTATTCATTGAAACCAAACAACAGATGAAATATACTCGTGGCACACAAAAAATGTTCGTCTACAGTCCTTGACCAATAATGAACAAGGATAATAATCTGGAATGTTCCTTCGAAAATACTTAATTAATCAGAGTTGTCGATTTTTTTTTTTATTTAAAAAAAAAAAACCAAGGATAGATGTTTGAGTGGAAAATCAAAAAGAAAAAAATTCTCATATATTTTATTAATTATAAATATATGGACTCATTTTATGGGCCCATAGCCCTGAAAAGCATTAATAATAATAATGATAAATAACAAGCCAAAGAGATAAGGATTAAATTCTCTATATCCTCCAACCAACCGTCCTATTTGTGTTAGGATTCTAAACTTATAGGTACTTCACCAATATATTAATGGTTAAGGTTTCTACTCCCTATTCTCTTAACACACCCCAATCCTTCGGCTTTATGTTATTATTGTTCCTGAATAGTCTCTTGCGGTCTCTCCCTCATAAACTCCCGTGGGATGTACTAATCCAAGATACAGTTAATTACCAACATTAGTTGGATCGATCAATAGGTAATAAATATTATTTAATATCTAGGAACTAAAATGAAAGTATAAAATTACAAAAATATCATGGATGTTATTTGAAACTTAACATTATGTTTATTTTTGTTACGGATGTTGACTGATGATTTTGTTTGTTGAGTAGCTGTCTTTGTGTAAGCTTCCTTTGGGGGAGACAGGGTTGGCAGTGTTTGTTGTATTAAGATATTTTTCCTTAAAAAAATAAATAAAGAGAAGAGAAGAGAAGAGAGAGAGATGAACACGATATATATGGAAGGTGGAGCAGAATTAGGACTCGCTTCCGGTGTGTTTGTTAGTAGTTAGCATTCTACACTGCACTTCCCTTTTACCTTTTCTTTTCTCCATAAATCATCAATTTCTTCTTTTTTTTCTTCCAACGCTTCCTTCATGCTCTTCATCCACACTCACGAATTTAATTCCTTTCGGTAAGCAATCCATTTTTATTTTTATTTTTTAAATTCTTTCATGTTATTATTGGCATGCTCTTTTTCTGCTTTGGCTAATTAATCATGAGAAATTGTTTCGAAGGACTAGACCTGAAGGATGCTCGTAGAATCTTCTCCTTCACAATTTTGTCTTTCGAAACATGTTAAAATCGGTTTTATTTATTTATTTATTTATTTTTACTCTTTTTGATAGCGAAGTGCGTTCATCTGTGTTGGGAATCCGCGTGGGCCCCGTTATTTGGTTCGAATAATGATCATGTCGTCCACTTGGTTTTAATTCGTTTGGATTATTATTATTAACACGACGCAATCAATGTGATTACTCTCCTCAGTCTAGCACACTGATTCAATTGAAACGTAACACGTGACATAAAAACTGAAATTATGCGCCCTTGAAATTAGTTTATAATAGTTTACAATAAAATCTATATTGTTGACTATGTAAGAATTTCTTCGTCCTATGTCAATTGAATTTGAACTCTCTGTGGTTCAGACTTTGATGCATATGTTTGATATTTGGTGGGTTTGGTATGTTCATGTGTTCTTATTCATTCATGATAGGCCTTCACAATTTTACTTGTATTCTTTCACAAATGAATTTTCTACTATGGTTGCTTCGGCATATTTGTATTGTCAAAAGGCATGCTGAGTTAGGAAGAAAGCAACCCCGCTATGTCTTCATTGAGTAATGAGTTATTGATGTATCAGAATTGAGTTGGGTATCTATGCAGAATTATATACGTTGGATTCACACCATGTTGTGTCTGACAAAAATGTTTCATTTCATTTGTGAACTGAGCTGCTTATGATGTACACAGTTGCGGATAAAACAAGTTATACCCTTAAATGTTTGCCTTGCTGTCTTTTTTACGTTGTTTTGATTCACTTCCTTTATATACAACCTTGATAATTGCAGATAGAGATGGTTGCCTTTGGGAAAAAGTTGAAAGAAAGACAAATTCAAGAATGGCAAGGGTATGTTTTCTGCCAATGTGTTGAGGGTTATAAACTTCGAGGTTAAATATTAGCCCCACGTTGCCGGTACTTTGGGTTCATTTTCATGCATGCTCATAATTTTGACTTTTGATTTAGATATTACATAAACTACAAACTAATGAAGAAACGAGTAAGGCAGTATGCTCAGCAAATTGAACATGGAACACTAGATCGGCGACACGTGCTGAAGGATTTCTCAAGAACGCTAGATAATCAGGTCTGTTCTCGTTCATGATTATATAATTACGAATCGCTTACTGTATGAAATTTAGATTCTGGTTATATGAGAAAACGTATGTGAACAAACAAAGGGATTTTGTTGTATATGTTGTATGGCATTCTTTACTTAAGTGTGACATATGTTTGACTCACTTTCTTGTTACAATTCAGATTGAGAAGATTGTCCTTTTCCTGTTGGAACAACAAGGGCATTTGGCAAGTAGGATAGAAAAGCTGGGAGAGCAGCATGATGCTATTCAGCAGGAGCCTCAAATAAGCAAAAGATCTGAACTACGAGAGGCTTATAGAGCAGTGGGGCAAGATCTATTAAAGCTTCTCTTTTTTGTAGAGATCAATGCTGTTGGTTTGCGTAAGATATTGAAGAAGTTTGATAAACGCTTTGGCTATAGATTCACTGATTACTATGTTAAAACTCGCGCAAATCATCCTTACTCCCAGCTGCAACAAGTGTTCAAGCATGTGGTAATATGTTTAGTTCAAAGTTTCAAACACATCTTCATTTGGACATCTGCAGAATAGTATATATATATATATATTCCTAGGTATGAACATTGACTAACAAATGTGGAACTTATAGGGATTAGGGGCTGTTGTGGGAGCCTTATCTCGCAACCTTCATGATCTTCAGGACAGTCAAGAAGGGAGTTACTTATCAATTTATGATCAGCCTACTCTTCCACTTCAGGTTTCTTTTATATTTACTCTGTTTCATACACTGAATTTGATTTATCATGTAACTCTCTTAACATTCTCAGGCAAGACTTAGTAGCTGGCTAAGATGCAGCAAAAGTTTTGGTGATTTTCTATCATATATACTTGGTCTTCTTATATGCAGGATCCTGTCATTGATTCAATAAGAGCAGCAGTTGACAGGTTAACTCACTCAACCAACTTCCTTAACTTTTTGGGACAACATGCACTCATTATGCAAGAGGAACTGTCTGCACCTGCTGATGAGCCTGCTGATGATCAAAGATACCATTTTATGTCTCTTCTCCTGAACTTGGCGAACACATTTTTGTATATGGTCAATACATATATTATTGTCCCAACAGCAGATGATTACTCTACGAGCCTTGGGGCTGCACCAACGGTTTGTGGTATTGTGATCGGGGCAATGGCTGTTGCGCAGGTGTTTTCTTCAGTGTATTTTAGTGCGTGGTCTAATAAATCATACTTCAGACCTCTCGTATTCAGTAGCATAGTTCTTTTTCTCGGGAATGCCTTGTATGCCTTGGCATATGATCTTCATTCAATATGGATTCTCTTAATTGGTCGTCTTTGCTGTGGGTAAGTAGCCCTCTATCTCTCACTTGGTTTGATTACTTGATAAGCTTAAGTTTCAATTCCCTTGATGTTCATGGTGCTTGCCAATTTTGTTCTTGAGTTGTATAAATACTGCATACCATCATGATTTACTGCGGCCATTTTAATTATTTCTTAATATCCAAGCTAGGAATATTATAAGGAACTTGTGACATTAAGACCTTGTTTTGTTGACAAACACTTGATTATAATTGCAGATTTGGTTCTGCCAGAGCAGTTAACCGGAGATATATCAGTGATTGTGTGCCTTTAAAAATCCGATTGCAAGCATCAGCAGGTTTTGTTAGTGCCAGCGCTCTTGGAATGGCTTGTGGTCCTGCATTAGCTGGTTTATTGCAGACCAATTTTAAGATTTTCAATCTTACATTTAATCAAGATACCTTGCCAGGGTGGGTTATGGCTGTTGCTTGGCTGATGTATCTAATTTGGTTGTGGATCAGTTTTAAGGAACCTAATCGTGAAATTGAAGAGAATCATATACCACAACAATCTAATTCTGGTACTGAACTCATTGCATCACTTCTCCTCTGATTAATTGTATTTTTTTCTGTTGTTTCCTTGCAAGATTGTTAATGTGTGTTAATTTTCTAATTTGACTGTTGTGTCCAAATATTTCTGTTATTCACTGAACTTTTTTGTTCTTTGAAGTTACAGGATTCAGTATTTTGAAAATCAGTCCATTAATGACCCTGGTTATCTATCTATATATTTGACCAATGTCAAAATCAATTTAAATAATATCATATTCTTCCTAATGTAAGGAAATGGAGAATGATGCATATAGTGGATTATTTGACCAGAGTGTTGGTTTCCTATCTGCTTCATACTTTATACAAGCACCTTTTTGTCAGTACAGATCCTCTCTGGCATGGGAGCTTTGTAAAGCTTGAACTTATTTCTGAGTCTTGATTGGTGTTTATTGTTGAATTTGATGTGTTCTGTTAAGAACCTTGGGATACATCACCCCAAAAGCTAGCTCAAAGGGTGAGAGTGCTCAAGGCCTTATAAACTCCACATTAGTTGCACATACAACCAATGTGGGACTATATATCTCAACACGCCCCCTCACACGAGAGCCCATTGGGCTTGAAGAGTGGACAATGCAACAGGCCCAGCCTACCTGTGCTAAGAAACGCCACAAGAGAAAGTGGGGGACGGCGAGGCTCTGATACCATGTTAAGAACCTTGGGATACATCACCCCAAAAGCTAGCTCAAAGGGTGAGAGTGCTCAAGGCCTTATAAACTCCACATTAGTTGCACATACAACCAATGTGGGACTATATATCTCAACAGTTCCACTCCACTCCTCCCCATAATGCTACATTGCTAAGTATTTTGTGGACCGACAAAGCATCACACGCATATCCCAACTACTTACTTAGTGTTACGATCTAATTGCAAGGTATGAGACTTGTAGTTTATATAGACTTTGAGCTCTCTTACCTCATGGGCTAGCTTTTGAGGTGAGATTTTCTCAAGATTCGTACCAGTAAGTCAAATAAGGACGTAAGGAATTGGCCTTAAAAACTTACAAAAGGCCTTAAGCAAAATTTCTAATTCTCTCTGGAATGCTATATCTAGTAAATTGGTAAATCTCTTGCCAAATATAATCCTTTAGAAATCATGGAGTAACGTAGGTAACACTTCTGGCTTTAGGTGAGCCTTCTCTAAATTATAGAGTTCCTGTCAATCTGTCACTTGGATATTTATAGAAAACCATCTATGGCTACATCATTCTTACATTATGCCATAATTTCATGGGTTTTCTACTTTTCTTTATTTAAGGAGTTTGTTGAGTCTGTTAAGCTTCAACACCAATAATGGTATTTTGACTCATTTTTTCTTCTTACTGGCAGAAAACGATGCACTTGAAGAAGGCCTGAAACAACCATTGCTGATTAGTTCAGAAGATAAGGTAGATGAAGATGCTGATCAGGATTATGATAGTGAAGAAGCTCCAGAGGAATCTCGTCTCCCAGCCAATTCAATTGGATCAGCATATAGACTGCTTACACCTTCTGTAAAGGTTTGTTAGCGACTCTAAACGTTACATTGTTAACCCATAACCAATGGTTTCTTTAGATTTATATGTTTCGAGTCATTGTAGACATGGAAAACTAATTTTGTAATGTCAAAGTGAGACACAGCATGCTCCGGTATGACAGAAAGGTTAATCATGAAAAGTTATAAATGTGTAATTAAAGGAACGGAACTGCTAATTGCTTTTGAGTTTTGACCATAGACTAGTTGGTTTTTACTGCATCAAATAGAGATACATGGAAATGGAATGGAACTTATTTACCATTTTTTACTTTTTTTACATGATTACAATTCGTTAATGGGTTCTGGCTGCAATAGACTGTATTAACAGTGACTGGGTGGGACCATGGGATGGAAAATGTAATCCTATAAAACACAGAATGGTCAACTTTACTGCGGATTAAGCCAAACGCCTGAACAGCAGAACTGAAGCGACTGAACCATGCTCGAGGAGACTGCTTGAGACCATATAAGGATTTCCGAAGACGACACACCTTTCCAGACTCCCCCTGAGCAACAAAACCAGGTGGTTGCTCCATGTAAACTTCTTCTTGTAAATCACCATGAAGAAAGACATTTTTGATGTCAAGGTGAAGGAGTGGCCAGTGACGAACAGCAGCAAGGGCAAGAAAGAGGCGGACTGACGCCATCTTAGCGACCGGAGAAAATGTATCGCTATAATCAAGGCCAAAGATTTGAGTAAAACCCTTGGCAACTAAACGTGCCTTGAGACGATCAATATGGCCATCAGGTCCAACTTTCACAGTAAAAACCCAGCGAAAACCAACTATAGACTTCTCTGGAGGAGCAGAAACAAGGTCCCAAGTGCCATTGGAATGAAGTGCAGTCATCTCATCAAGCATTGCTTGGCGCCACCCTGGATGGGAAAATGCTTCACCTGTGGTCTTAGGAATAGAAATAGAAGAAAGACTAGAAACAAAGGTGAAATGAGGTGAAGAAAGACGGTCATAACTCAAAAAGGTATAAAGAGGATAAGGGTTACGAGTAGTACGTGTACCTTTTCTTTGAGCAATGGGAAGAGTCTCTGATTAAGGATCCGGAGGGGAAGAAGCAACAGCAGTGGGCGATGAGTCAGCAAAAGTCGAGTCGACAGGAGGCACAGTTTTGCGACGCTGATAGGTGAGAAGTGGACGGTCCTCAGGTATAGAAGCAATAGGTTGCTCATCTGGAATAGAAGCACCTGCAGCTGGCAAAGACAAGTCAAGAAAAGGGACAGGAAGTACATGATCAACCTGTGACATCTGAGATGGGATAGAATTAAAGGGTTGTTGATCAAGAAAAGTGACATCAGCGGAAACTAAGTAACGCTTAAGGTCGGGAGAATAACAACGATAACCCTTTTGAAGACGAGAATAACCAAGAAAGATACACTGAAAGGCTTTGGATGTTAACTTATCCTTACCAGGAGTGAGATCATGAACAAAACAAGTACAACCAAAGACATGTGGAGTTAGAGGATAAAGAGGAACATCTGGAAGCAATAGATTATGAGGAATGTCATTGTGGAGCACAGATGAAGGCATGCGATTGATGAGAAAATAAGAGATGAGTACAGCATCTGCCCAGAAGTGAAGAGGAACCTGCATATGAATAAGAAGGGTACGGGCAGTTTCAATGAGATGTCTGTTTTTACGTTCAGCCACCCCATTTTGTTGTGGAGTGTGAGGACAAGTAGTTTGATGTAAAGTACCTTGTGTGGCCAAGAAATTAGAAAAATCAATACAAACATATTCCTTAGCATTATCACTACGTAGAATACGAATAGAAACACCAAATTGAGTATGGATCTCAGTAGAAAACTTTTTATAAATGGAAAATAACTCAGAACGATTTTTCATTAAATAGGTCCAAGTGCAACGGGAAAAATCATCAATAAAGGTAACGAAATACCGAAAACCTAAGACAGACAAGGTACGACTTGGACCCCAGATATCTGAATGAACAAGAGAGAAAGGGGCATCAACTCGTTTATTGACTCGACTGGCAAAAGAGGAGCGTGTATGCTTCCCTTATTGACATGACACACAATCTAAAGACTGAAGACCGGACAAAAGAGGAACCATTTTCTGCAACTTTGAAAGACTTGGATGACCAAGACGACTGTGGATAAGTTGTGGAGATTCTGTGAGAGAGCATGCTACTGAAGGACGAGGCACATCCAGATAATAAAGCCCTCGTGACTCACGACCCACTCCAATCATTTTTCCCGTACCCGGATCTTGCACAGAAACAGAATGGTTAGAGAAAGTAATGGTGCAAGTGAGGGAGTGGATCAACTTACTAATAGAAATTAAGTTATAAGGGATGCCAGGAATGTAATAGACAGATGTCAGGGCCAAGGTAGAGGTCGGACGAGCTTGTCCAATCCCACGAACTGGGACCTTGGTTCCATCCGCAAGGGTAAAAGACGGTAAATGATCAGAATAAGTAAGAGATGTAAAGAGTTCCTTATTACCACAGAGATGATCGGTAGCACCGGAGTCAAATATCCAAGTGCCAAGTGATGTAGAATGAGAAACACAAGCAACGGGATTACCAGTATAAGGCTGAGACTGAGGAGAAGCCTTCCTGGGAGGGGTTTGGAGTGCAGCATAGTCCGAACCTGAACCAAATGATGCATTGTCTGACTGAGCTATATTTGCAACAATAGAAGGAGAGTTAACCTCCGAAAGATCAGGAGATGCTGCTGCCATTTAAAGATAAAATATAAAAGCCGTAAACGAAGGCAAACGATATCCAATCAAGAAGAACCACGCGTCTAAGGTCAGACCCACAGAGAAACAATCACAGATCCAGAAAGGGGAGGAGAAGGCGAGCTTCTCTGTCCAAGACCGGCCGAAAAAAGTCGCCGGAATAGTGCTCACGCCCCGGCAGAAGGTGGCGCGTGAAGCCCACGCGCAGAGAAGACAGGTGGCGCGTGATGGCGCGTGGGAGATGCGTTGCTGACCGGACTACCACAAACCTGGTCGCCGAGAAGAAAGGGTCCTGATCGCGTGAAGTTTGGTCGTAAAAGTCGCCGGAAAAAGTCTCCGGTTGCCTGAACAGTGATTCTGACGGCGGGCGGTGGTTCCGGTGGCCGTCGGAGGTGCTGACGTGTTTGAAAAAATCACTCAGTGGCTGTTTACAGCCCTAAAAGGCTTGCCGGAAGGACGCACGACAAGAAAGAGGACTCCTAAGCAGTGAGCTTAGGTTTTAAAGCAAAAAACAAGGTTTCTAAGCGGAAGCGAGGGTTCCCAGAACGAAAAAGCTCTGATACCAACTTGAATATAAAATAATATGTTGTGTATTGATCTGTGTTAGAGAGTTACAATATATAGAGACCCTAATGGGCTTAAGTGAAAGGCCCAAACCTAATCCTAATACAGTCAGAATATTTACGGATAAGACAAAATCCAATCATATCTAATCATATCATATCTAATATTCTAACAGTATCTATCTATGATGAAACTAAGAACCTGAAGTTAGATTTGCGATTTTTATTTTCCAATGACTGCACACCTGAGTGAGTTTAAGACAATATACTTAGAAGATTTATACATATATCTATAGCTTAAATTAAAACAAACTACTTATACTTACTGATGCGACTTACCACAAGAAAGTTCTGCCAAATTTGCAAGATGGGGACTTTCTACTGTCATATAAGATTATTTAGACGTCATATATCTCTTGATTAGATAATGAATTTTTCATTCAGCTTGTCAAGTATTATCTTAGATAATTTAGTTCTTCCTCAAAATCTTTAATTTGCTATTTGTTTGATGTCATAATTGAAGACTAGGTAACAGGCTGTTTCATCTGACAAAATTTACGTAACATCTTCAGGTTCAGTTATTGATATATTTCATGCTCAAATATGTAATGGAGATTCTACTATCAGAATCTAGCGTCATCACATCATACTACTTCAACTGGACAACAAGCACAGTTGCCATTTTTCTTGCTTGCCTTGGCTTGACAGTTCTTCCCGTAAACATTATTGTTGGAAACTATATAAGCAATATGTTTGAGGACAGGTTACGTGTGATAAAACTCATGCTTCATTTGATTGTCAACCATAAAAGCTAATTTATGCTTTGGATTTTGCTGAAAGATGCATGATAATACATTTTGAAGTTTAATAATTGCTGAAATGTTATCGATATGGAGCTAAGAGATCATCTTTCTATTGATGTATCTGTAGGCAAATTCTGTTGGCATCAGAAATTATGGTTTTGGTAGGCATACTCTTCAGCTTCCATATAATTTTTCCATACTCCGAGCCACAATACATCTGTTCGGGACTCCTTGTGTTTGTTGCTGCTGAAGTACTTGAAGGTGAGATATTATTTTAGTGATCTGCTTTACTACTTATAATAGTGGACAAAATTATATTGAAATGTGAGAGTTGAGACCCTTGGTAACCCAAACTAACCATCAGGAACGGCAAAGCAAGCAAAGTGAAACGCAGTTATTTTTTTCACATGTGGTATTTATTATGTTATACCATAATAATATTTTTTATATTTTGACAATCATTCATGCATGCATGCATTACAGGGATCAACTTGTCACTCCTTTCACGAGTGATGTCATCAAGGCTTTCTCGCGGAACCTATAACGGAGGACTTCTGTCAACGGAGGCTGGAACAATTGCAAGAGTGATTGCTGATGCGACAATTACCCTGGCTGGCTATATGGGTGTGAGTAGGCTACTTAATATCACCCTGCTTCCTTCGCTCTTCATTTGCATAGCTTCCATCATTGCAACCTGTTATACCTTCAATTCTTTATATTGATTTCTGTGGTTGATTCGGATGCAAATAGGAGAATTCTGTTCAACCCTGCCTTGGTTTCCCTACTTACCAGGGTTTTAAAACACTGCATTGCTGTATGCTTTAAGAAAAACTGGCTCGTTGGTTCTTTTCTTATTTCCTTTAAACTCCGTAAGGTAGCAAGAGTAGCTAGGATAGAGACTAATTTAATCAGTTAGGTTGTCGAATTGTAAATTCTTAGCTGGATATTTAAAGTGATGATTAATTTAATCTAATCTAATAAGGTTTCTTTCCAAAATATTAGCTTCTTTTATAGTTTTAACTCTAATTAATTAACCTCTTCATACAACATACAATCATACAATTAGCTTATAATTAACACTTCTAATTGCATACTTGTTTTTACTGGTTAGTGTCTTTGATGTATATATTTATGCGTTTTAATTAATTTTTTTTTATTTGTTTTTTTTTTTTTTTACTGGGTTCAACTGTTGAATTTTTTTTTCAAAGAGGCTAGGACGATATGAAATATCGAATTCCACCGCTGGCATGGCAATATATTTTTTTTCTTTCTAAAATATAATTTTATACCCTTCAATTTTATTTATAGTTTAAATTATTATTTTATGAGAAATTATAATTTCATGTAACATGAGATTACTCTATCATGTTGCTTTCACATAGAAAAATATACATCCTTTTTTTTCTTCTTTTAAAATCAGTGGATTCTACTTTATTTGTCTCTCAACATAGGAAAACTTGCCTTCATGAGAGAAATAATCGCTTTATTTTATATATTCAATTGTTTCAATTAATCTTTTTATACTTTGTGATGATACGAAATTAATACATATGTTAAAATTTTGATTAACAGTATTAATTCCCCAAATCTCTAATTTTATTCTCCTTCCAAAATTTGCATTCAATACTCTTCTGTACTCTATGAAGAATTTTTTCTTCATCCCAAATTTGTACTCTATGTGAAAAATTTATATGTATGAAACATTTGTTAATTGTTTTTAATATAAAGAAAATAAGATTGGTGTTTGTCCTTTTAAAGGACATAGAATTGTGCCATTTTAAGATAAAGAGATAAACAATGAAAATCATGGGGAAGAAAGTGATAGATTTTTTAATTTTAAAGAAAAAATACTAATTTTAACTAAAATGATCATTTTTAAAAGGACAAATATTTTTCTCAAAGAAAATGTGGGATAGGGAAAGATTATGTGTGCGACACATTGTTGTACCGACACCAGCACGATACAACACGATACTCTGATACGTTAATTCTAAAAAATATTAGATTTTGACACGTCAGAACATGTTTTGATATTAAATAATATTTTTAATTTATGTAGTATGTATTATATTTAATATTTAATAATTAAAAAAAAACAAAGATATACTTATATTATCCATTAATTTTACAAAGAAATATAAGATATCACAAATATTTATATTAAACTTAATAAAATGATAATCGTAATCCAACGAATCTAATAGTTGGAACTAAAAATGTAACACAACGCAACTTTTGAACTTTTTTTGAGTCTCTGCAACGCGTGTTGGAGAGTTGGTGTGTGGGAAGTGTCGAATACGACACGTCAAATTTTTGAGGTGTAAATACATCGTAGGTGCGACATTCGTATTTGTGAAATATTTTTATATGAGTGATATTCATATTTTTGTGAAACATTTATGTATATGTGCCATATATATTAATTTATTACCATAACAAAATATGGCTAAGGTTTTTAGTTATTTTAATAACTCGTTAAATCATATTGACAATTTCACCGTTAAACAACACTATGTGTAAAACGATATAACAAATCCATAATTTGATTTCAAACTACCCTCAAATGTAATTTTCTTTTTCTTTATGCTGGTCAAAAAGCGGGCATTTTAACCGTTTTGCCCCTAATTAATTATTTAATAATTATTTTGTCCTTGATCGGAAACTATTTACCAATCTGTCCCTCTTTAATCGACTAAGCCACAAATTTAATCGACTAAATGATCGAGTGAAGATTTAGTCGACTAAATCTTCAACTTAATCGACTAAATCTACCTCTTTATCAGAAGAACAACCTTGTGTGTGGGAGATTTAATCGATTAAATAAGGAGATTTAATCGACTAAATCTTCATTCGATCATTTAGTCGATTAAATTTTTTGCTTAGTCGATTAAAGAGGGACAGTTTGGTAGATAGTTTTCAATCAGGGGCAAAATGATGATTAAATAATTAATTAAGGACAAAATGGTTAAAAAGCCTCAAAAAGCCTATTACTAGTAGTTTAGTTAGTTGAGAAAACATTTTCTCCTTTTCAAGGAGAAAAATTTTCTACTATTGATGACTCATGACGTAATTAGAATCCACAAATAGTTTAGAGAAAAAAAAATTCAAGATAGGATCCAATTATACCATAAATCATTAGTAGGAAAAAAATTTCTTCTTTAAAAGAAGAAAATGATTGCCCTTAGTTATATATTATATGAAATATTTTTAAATAGCATTTTTTTGTTTGGAAAATATTTTTAATTTTTTCAATCCCAAATTTTCCAAATCGTTGACGGAACTTGTGATTAGACTCTTTAGGACATGTTTGGATGAACTTTTTAAAAAGAAAACTTGTTATACATTGCTTTTTTCAAAAGAATGTTTTTGAAAAGGTAAAGTTATTTTGCATATAAATATAGGGAAAAGTGTCTATACTTTTAAATTACACAACTTACATCCTTTCACTCTCACAAAGAGGTGGGACCCACAACTTTATTTTTTTTGTCAACTCTCTCTCCTTCTTTATCTATCTCTTTCTCTCTCTTAAAATGACACAACTTTACATCCTTCAAAATTATACACATTTTTCCCATAAATATATGATCTAAAATTTACTTTTACATAAAAAAAAGCGGTTTGAATTTTAAAATAAAAATAATTATATACAAAATTACCAAAAAGGACATATTTTTTTTTTTTAATATAATATCTCGTCTGTATGCAAATGTAAAATTTGGAAAATGTGATTTGAGACTACTCAATAAAACAATCCACAAACATTAATTAATGCGTAACGCAATATTCCAAGTAGTAGAGCCATGATTTTGGTATATTTCTATTTTGGAAAGAGTTATAATATTTTAATGGCATTGTTGTGTAGAGTTTATGTTGACTGGGTTTTTTTTTTTAATTTCTGTTAATTGTTTTCCATGAGATGACCAGGCTGCTATGAGCCTATGACTATGAGAACTCAAAAAATTTTGCCCTATATGCGATTATTTTATCAGAAAAATATTTCTGCAATTACTGCAGATAAGTTATTTGTATTTACTTTCAAAAGGACGTCGTTTTGAGATTGAAATATTAAAAAATTATAATTATAAAGACTATTATAACCTTGAAATAAATTAAAATTACAAAACAATATGATTTCCGTTCTAAAACGACATCGCATCGGACTTACTGCAAATAACTTGCAAAAAAAAAAAAAAAAAAAGCAAACTCTTATTCCATAGGGGGAAGTTTACAGGGAAAAAAAAAAGAAACTCTATGAAGATACTTTTATCAATAAGATAAATTTTATCACTTAATGTTGTACAGCAAAGAACGAGCCTTTTTTTTTTCTTCATCACTTCGAAGTATACCAATGAGATCCACTTGTTCCAATTTCTCACTATAAAACTACCAAATTTTTCCCGTAAGCATGGATTGTTGATTAAATTGAAACCTATAAATATACTGTAATGCCATTAGTGCGTAATGCCAGGTCTTCATTTATCCACGATGACAATGAGATAAGAAGAGATGACAAGGTTCACACAATTCCGTTAAAAACGAGATTTTACATAAAATTGGAAAGGAGATAAAAAATCATAAAATGTAAAATCGTTTAGAATATCAGTAAAAACATTTTGATAAAATTTTTTGTGAAAACATAAAAATGTAGTGATAAATTGAGATTTTAAATATCATGGACTCACATGATGAAATTAAAATTGTATGTTAAAAATTATATTATCTTTTAGTTTTTTTTTTAAAGCAATTAACCCTTGGCTAAAAAAGATAAGCAATATTTTAACTTTTTATTTTTATTTTTATTTTTTTAAATGTTGTTATCCAAAAATCAAAAATTTATCAAAAGAAATTTTGATAAATTTATTATTATTTATTGGATGAGAGAAATTTTGAAAAGTCATTATTGATACCAATGAATCTGATTCTCTATTATTATCTCACATTGTCTAATGTAACTGAGGCTCAAAGTAGCACATTGTAGTTATACAAAAAAAGAAAAGAAAAAAAGTAGCACATTGTATGCAATATCCAACAAAGTTCACGGGATAACATAACACAAATCAAGACCCGTGAGCACAAACACTATAGCTCAGAGCAGAAAACAGAATAGTAGCCAAGCGACAAATCTCTTTCATGATTGGGAGGACTGCTTTGGATTTTTCCCTCTCTTTGCAACCGAAATTAAGAGACACCCGTGACACCAACAAAGTTAAACAAATAGAACAATTGAATAAGCCAAGACATGCATATGTGGTTTTACTGTTATATATACTCTCACCCATGAATGCATCCAGGTCAGCTCTCCAAGAAATTCAAATGGATCCCACCTTATAATTCATCCATGCATTAAATATATAGAATTATTGATCCTCCTGGTCTCCCATTTTGCATGTGAGAAAATCAAAGGACAATAAGAATGAGTGAAATTGCTTGTATAATTATAAATTTATTTAATTAAGTCACTATAATTGGTCTAATAATGAAGGGTTTGAATAGTTTGTACGTATTACCATTGCTTGTATTTTGTACAAAAAAAAAAATATATATATATTTAATTTATAAAAGATATTAATTTTATTTATAAAATTAGATGCAATATGATGAATTAATAATTGATCATCTCCATTTTGCACTTTTCTTAAAGGAATTATCATTTCTGTATCAATGGTAGAAAAGAAAAATAATTTCTGCCACTAAGACATAAAATAATGAAAAAGAAAGCATAGAGAAATGAGAGAGAAAACAATGATGGGCCCATTCCTTTTTATGTCTCAGTGTAAGAAAAAAATTTCTGCCACTGAAGGAGAAATAATAATCCCTTTCTTAAATTTGATTGCATGTAGGTAAGAGAAATGATTTGCATTTAACAAGTTACATGTACCATTTCATTATACATATGAGAAGGAAAAAAAATTGAAATGACCACAAAATTAAATGTGTTCAAATATAAGCCTATCATAGTGCCTGAGGTATGAAACGTCGCATTCTTAAGTACAGCTTGTCCCACTTGTATCTCAAGAAAATGAAATATATCACGTACTAGCACCAAATTATGGGATTCCAAGGAAAGGGAACAAGATATATCTAATGAGTAAGTACTCGGAAGAGAACAGCTAAAGATGAGAACGAAGAGTCAACTTCAAATCTACAAAACAAACTTTCTCTGTGTTTGTATTTCAGATTATATATACTTTAAAGCAATCAGATGGAAACAAGACTAGTTCATACAATAGGATCGGAAATGAAGAAAATATACTAAAATGCCTTAATTTTTTCAGCGTTTGATCATTCTCATTCGGTCTTTTAAGTTTTGGATCTTGAAACCCTTCTAATTAAAACCAAGAAGCAAAGCACACGATACAACACAAAGAACCCAACCAAGAAGTACACGTTGGTCCATCTTTCACTCTCGCGTAGCCCTCTCTTCTGTAACACGTCACCTCCAGTGACCATGCACTGCTGATTCTCTTGGTACCATATCAAACACCTTGTAGCTAAGCAAGAATACTCATTGATAAGAAGTGCATCAAGAGCATATTTGTACATAGAGAAAAAGTGCATGAAGAGCCAGTATTTGGGCAAACAATCCTTGGAGATAAAATAGCCAGAGAAGAGGAAAAATGCTGCAAGAAGAACCGTCAAGAGTGAAGTCCCAGCAATGTAATTTGGGGCAAGAGAACTCAAGAAGAGGACAAATGAGTTCGCCATCAGAACAATGACCCATATGACCAAAACAAAATAAGCAAAAGATAACCAAGAAGCACATAGACCCACTAAGAAGTAGACTGGGATAGAGTATATAACAGCAACTACAAGCATGTATGGCAAGAAAACAAGTGTATTTGCAATGAGATAAGATGATAGCCTATAAACCCCACTAGAAGTTTCTCTTAACAAGATTGGCCTCTCATTGATAAAGATTGGAAGTGTCTCAGTTGTGGAAGATAGGAGGAATGTAAGAGTGAAGGCAAATAGACCAAACCTTTTCTCAATGCCTTCTTTATCAAACCCAATATTGATATAAATTGTTCCTAAAACAAGACCCACAAGAAGCGCTTCTGCTGTGTTAGTCAAAAGCAATTGCCTAGTTCTGTAAATGATCTTCCAAAACCTGCTATAAAGGGTACAGATTTCATGGATCCTAGAACTCTTGTACTTGATCTCTCTCATTTTAGTTCCATTATCAAATGAGGAAATTGTAGAACTTTTTGGAGATTCAGGAAGACATGGGGGAGTGATGGGTTTAAGCTCATTTAATTGGTTTAGTATTTCCATTGCATATTCCAATGCATTGAGCTGATGAGGGACAGTGAAACCATTTGAATGCAAGAAAGCTTGGAGTGAAGCAAGGCTTCCATGGTGAACCACGGTACCCTTTGATAGCAGCAAGATTCTATCAATGCATGAGAGGATCTTGAAGCTCGGTTGGTGAATTGAAAGGACAATGGTCCTGTGACGAGAAACACAAGTTGATTTCAGAATTTGCATGACTTTGAAGGCAGAGGTACTGTCAAGGCCAGAAGTGGGTTCATCAAGAAGCAACACAGCTGGATCATGAAGAAGACTAAGACCTATGGAGACCCTTCTACGTTCTCCACCAGATAAGCCATGAGCGAGCCTCGTGTTAGCCAAATGGATTAGCCTCAGTTCAGTGAGAAGAGAAGAAACAATGGCGGAAATATCAGAAGTCTTAGGCTTGAGAAGACGAGCAGCGAAGGCGAATGTCTCGGAAACAGTGAGCAAAGGGAGACATGCATCGTGTTGAGGAACATAGGAAGAGAGTTTGCGAAATGTGAAGGGGTTAATAGGGGAAGAGTTAAGGGAAAGAGTGCCATTTGAGGGTAATGTTCTAGCTGATAGAATGTCTAGAAGAGTGGATTTTCCGGCACCACTTGGACCAACAATGGCGAGGATCTCAGAGGGATTTGCGGTGAGGGAGACATCTTTGAGGATGTAGGTAGGTGGGGTTGTTGTACAATGTTTGAAGAGGAACAATGGTGGTACTATTGTGCTGTTGGTGGTGGTTGATTTGGTGTAGCAGATTGAAGTTGCTGTTAGTTTGTAAGTTTTTGGTGACAGTGGTGGTTCAGCCATGGAGGAGGTGGCCAAAGGAATGGAAGAGAGAGGACTTAGAGAAAAAACTGTGCCTGATATGTAACAATGATCGTTTCCATGTCCATGTGTTGGTGCGTGGATGATAAAGAGAGCAAAAAAGAAAATAGAATTGAAAAAGGCGTTTTGCACTTTGGTGGTTGGATTATATTTTATTCTCCATCTCAAACAGAATAATTTTTTAGTGGTACAGTGTGAAAATGTAAAAAAAATTCTTTCACTTTACTCCTTTCTTTTATTTATATTTTTAACTATGTTTCATATTTTCTAAAGGGATCCCCAAAACTTTTCTCCTCAAAACGTTAAGAATTTTCCGATTATGTAATAACGTTATTGTTATACCTTATAATACTTATATAAATTTTAGATAATCTTTTAATAACATTACTATATTTTATTATATTCATTTTGGGTTGAGATTGGAGACATAGATCTCATCATTATAATGAGACATTTTTTTTATATTCATCATAATTATTTTTTTAAGATGAATCGACAATTGAATATTTCTATAAACTTCAATTCTTTGAATTGGTTATATGATTAATCTCAAGTTAAGATTTAATAAAGTTCTTCTTCACTTCACGTAAGACACTTTATACTAGGCTATTTGGCAACCAGAAATTAAGAGAATATTAAATAATCTAAAACTGAATTCACAGAAAAGGGGATTCACTTTATATATATATATATATATATATATATATATATATATATATATATATATATATCTGTGTTTCTTTTAATTTTGTAATTGTTTTAAGGGTTCGTTTTTTCTACAGTTACGGTAGATAAGTTATCTGTAGTAAGCCTAATATGACATCATTTTGGGACAGAAATTATGATTTTTTTTGTAATTTTAATTTATTTCAGGGTTATTATAGTCTTTATAATTATAATTTTTTAATTTTTTAATCTCAAAACAATGTTGTTTTGAGAGTAAATACAGATAATTTATCTGCAGTAACTGCAGAAATATTATTATGTCATTTTAAACCAGCATTTATCAAAACTTTCACATGGTTTTGACTGAGTTTATCAAAATAGCTTATCAGATTGAGCTCTAAAAGATGTCTATAAAGTATAAACTAGTTCAGAATTATTTAATGACTTATATTTTATAAACATTTCTTCATATATATATATATATGGAAAAAATAAAAATAAAGTGACTGGACGATTCAGTGCACTATGTTCTCCCGCGAGAACATAGTGCAAAAATATTACAATGGTGTTCTCCTGAGAGAACATAGTTTTAATTTTACTATAACTGTGTTCTCGCGGGAGAACATAGTGCACTGGACCGATTTTTACATTCAGTCACTGTACACTCACTAAACCCTATATATATAGAGAGGTAGGATCCTTTGACACCTCATCTGAGAGCCGTTAGATCAAAAAAGATCAACGACTCTGATTTTTAAGCATGTGACATCATTGATCTTTTTTGATCTAATGGCTCTCAGGTGAGGTGTCAAAGGATCCTACCTCATATATATATATATATATATATATATATATATATATATATATATATATTTTCTTTTGTCTCCAGAGTAAGTCTTACTCCTCATCTCAGCCGTTGATGGATGAAAATCAACTGTTGTCATTTATAGTGTAATTAATAATTAATTAATTAATATAAATTTCTAAACTATAATCGTTGGATAGACGAAAATCAACAGCTAGGATGGGGAGTAAGACTTAAAAGTCTTACTCTGGAGTCAAATGATCTATATATATATATATATATATATATATATATATTATGCTGGAGAAAAATTAGTGTTTTAACGAAAAATTTGTTTGGAAATGATAGCAATGTAAATTAAAGCAATGTAAATTACTTCATGAGTGATATGAAAATTTAATTTATCCCATATGTTTTTTATATATCTCTAAAATAAGATGATTTTATGGTGTAAGAAAAATTGTTATTTAATTATATTCTCAACGAAAAATAATACCTCGCATCCTTGAAAAGCTTAACAATTCATATATTGATAATAAAAGAGATAAATCCTTCAATTTTGATGTCAGTGTGTCTTCCTTCCTAACTGCATCGTTATATCGTTTTTCTCTTTTCTATAGATAGCAATAGAAAAATTAAAATGGTAACCTTCACAAGAACAAACCAGATTAGCTTTATTATGAATGAACACGAGTCCAAGAGAAATAAAATCAATTGCATGCTTCTTAATTTTTTGCCTAGTAGGATCAGCCGTTGAGGAAAGAGACGACCTAATGCTGATTTAATTTGATATTTTGGCCAATCTTGAGGAACTTAGAAGCATTGTAGTGACGTTATACAAAAGTATGTTGTTTTATGTGTGCGCTGCAAATTCTTTTTTTATTTTTTATTTTTTAGAAAAGAAAAAGTTATGCTAAAGTTTGTAAAATGATTTAAGGGCATTCCAACTCAATATATCAAATGATTATTGGAAAAACTTGATGTCATTTAAATGATGACTATTGAATTGAAAATTTCTTAAATTTTAATTATTGCAATTCGGAGCAGGTTGAAAGATCACGAGCAAACTGTTCTGTCATTGTCACAGATTACAAAGATGAATCTTCATTTCTTTGTCTGTTTATTTGCTTTTGTATCTCGTGTGTTTGTCACAACACCTTAAGAAATAACCTTTTTTTGTGAATGAGGAAATTATTTTTGGCACTTCACGACGATCAGCAGCCTCGTCCGTGATAATTAATGCACACCAGTGCGCAGGAGCAAAACAGCTCTTTATTATTGATTTATTGTAAATAGGACAGAGTAGCCAAACACTTATGATTTGGACAGTTCTAAAAGGATAAAATATTTTAAAGACAATATTTATATCACAGAGTCTTCTGATATTTTCTAAACATAACCTTATATAATTTTAAAAGCGAATTTAATAATATACAAGATTTATTTATCGTACTGTTAGTTATGTGCAACATTGAATTTATTATATTGTGCATTAATATACAAGTATGTGGATATGTATTTTACGCAAAAGTATGTGGAAAGGTATCACATTGAGGGGTTAAACTTAAATGACTTGTGAATAGAGGTGGCAAAGCGGGTGGGCTGGTCTGTCCCGGCCCACAAACTCGCTCTGCTTTTGAAGGTGGGCTGAAAAACTCAGTCTGTCTGCCCCGTTTGGCGGGTTGGCCTACCAGCCCGAACCTATTTTACACTGATCTGCCTCAGCCTGCCTATGCTTGCCATCAATCCGTCAAAAAATGAGTTCATCCCGTCTGGTTCCGCTTTGGAGATGAGTTGAAAAACTTTGTCCGCCCCGTTCCGTTTGGCGGATTGGACGAGTTGGCCCGCCGAGCCGAGTCAGTTTTTGCCGCTCTACTTGTGAAGCTTTCATTCATTTAGAATTGAAAATTTATGAAAGTTAATTAATGCAGCAACTTGACAACCATATAACAGCAATTTTTCAGAGTTTTTTTTTCTTTTCTTTGAGTGAGTTAGAAATTCTAATTGTAAAACGTCAAGCTCTAATATTGGGACCAGAAAGGGTTAGATGTAGTTATAGGTGAATTGTAGTTATGAATAAATGTTTAAATCTTAGAGTTGATTTTGCCTTTGATACTGAAGGAATAAAAGCGGTCGTTTTGTTTTTAAGCTTTTAAAAAAAAAAAAAAAGTATGAATAATATTTTATTTTTGGATAATGCTAAAAAAAAGACTAAAGTTTTAACAAAATTAGCTAGATTCAAGAATCATTTTTTAGATGAAATAAAATGATGAAAGACCACTGACCTATATAAGATTCAAATAGACATACTACATCATGTTGCAAAACAATTCTAATTGTCTAACTTTTTATTTTTAAATGTCATATTAATTTTTTTTACGAAATACCCATATTTTCTAACACCGCAGTAATAATACATCCATCCTTTATACATTATGTTGCCTTGTTACAATTTTTTATATATATATTTATCAATTCATTGATTATTTGATTAATTCGGTTTAAGCACTATCTCCAGATTTATTTTGAAGGTGGCTCTTCTAAAATTATTTTTCTTCATTCACAACACTCGAATTTGAGACCTCTAATTTTTGTTTACTGGTTAAACCAATGGTTATTAGTGCCTTGTTAGATTCTTTTTCAAGGATAATTTCTCTTTAAATCCGCAAAAATTACAGGATCAATTAATTTAATTTTAATAATAATCCAAACTTTTCTGAGCTCCAAGGCACTGTACTGGCAAGGTGCAAGTTTGCTTACTACCATGACATTCAATGACTCTTTATCTGTGCTTGCAAAAATCTTCATCAGGTAGTTGAGAAAGTATCATATTTGAATAAAAATAACTAAAGCATGCTTTATTGAATCCGTTTGGTTCAAGGTATTTTTTAGAATTTTTGAAAAATTGAAAGTGGTAATTATATTTACCCACGTTTGATACAGGATTTTAAAAAATTTCCTGAAATTTTATTTTGTGTGTAATTTTTTTTGAAAATACCATCCAAGAATACTATCCACGAGATGGTATTTTAAGATTTCTACGACAAGAAAAAATTTAATACGACTAAACATAGAATTAAGAAAATTAAATCAGTATTCTCGGAAATATTTTAGTCTACCAAATAACTTTTTATTAAAGGAAAACTTCATTTTCACCCATTGTGATTTTGTAATTTATCATTTGATCCCCGTGGTTTTAAACTTATCACTTAAATCCATTGTGTTTAAATAATTTATCATTTAACCCCGTGGTTTCAAATTTTCACTTAGACTCCTCGTGATTAAAAATATTTTCACTTAGACCCCTTGTTACAAAAATAAATATTTAAAATAAATTTTTTCTCTTTTTTATTTTATATCCTCACCTAATGCGTTTAAGGTTTAAAAAATTAAAATAAATTCTAAAAAAATTCACTTAATTTTATCAAGAAAATAAATTCAAATCAAATATTTTTATTTTATCTTTTTTTTACCCGGTATCATTATAAAATTATCTAAAGAAAGTAAATAT